GAGTATGTGTTTTTTCTATTTGGCTTAGAAAATTGCCTGGACTGGTGAAGGGAGTGGAACTTCTAAATTTAACATCAGTGACAGGGTTTCAAATGTACTTTATGCCTGGAATATCACAAGACACCCCTGAGTCATACAGATTCTATCCCTTATAATGCTGTTGAAATGTTAACATCTTGCTAGTAAACGATGAAACACAACTCCATTATTTATTTAAAATTAGCTGAGGCCCCCTTAAAGGTATCCACTTTTGGTAAATCTTGCTTCAAATTTCATAACCATTTATATTTTTCTATCTAGAAAATAAATAGAAATAGAACCATAGAGTTGGAGATGCAGGTAGAGGTGGAGATAGACAGCAATGAGCCATCTTTAAAGAACCCACTGAATCAAAGGATTTGCTTCTGAACAAACATGCTTACCACCCAAGATTATGTATTTTTACTTAGATGGAAGTTTACTGTTCTGAATGGGGCTTATTCTCCATTAACTGCAGATAGGATTCCAGCCTGATGGATGCAATCCTGTACACATTGACCTGAGAGTGAGTCATTAAACACAAAGAACCTTACTTCTGTGTAAACACAGAAACACAGAAACATAGAAATGGAGTGAGTCAGAAGGGGTCTCCTGGGCCATCTAATCTGACCCCCAGCTCCAGCCGGCTCCACTCACGACATGCCCAATGATTGCACAGTGAAACTTCTGCCCATGGGATCCTACACTGTTTTAATCACTATGAAGGTGCTTGTTCTTTTTGTCTGTTTATTTTTATTGTACTTCTAAAAATTATAAGAAAAGCCAGGGGGAAACAAAATAAAACAAAATAGTATAGTTTTCATTTAATAAAGTTTGAATATATCAATTACAATAAATACATGTGAAGCATGCTCCCGTTCTCTCTGCCCCACACACACAGAGTGAGAGTGAGAGAGAGAGTATATATAGATAATAAGAAAGTACACTGCTATCAATACAAATAGTTATGCATAAGCATCAGTAAAGATAAAGCAAATACTCATCTTCTTTCCAAATAACATTGCATTTACTTTTGTTCAGTCCCTAAATTGCAACAGGTGGGGGAGGGTTAGGTTGCAATCATGACTGGGCAAATGAAGTATTTAACAATTTCCATCTACATGCCATGGTTCCAATGCAACCCTCTCCCCAGTTTGCAAAGAGCAAAGCAGACCTGCTATTCTACCTGCAGCTTGGAGCTGAACAGTGACACCTGGGTGCTTCTTAAGGGATGCTTCCTATGTGTGGACGCACCCCCTTAAGAAAGTTGAATAAAATGTATATATGCCTGTCTTCAAAAATAAGCTTTCGTATATGTTGAAGGATACATTTCTATGACTGGGAGAATGTCCCCTTGGAGATATGCCCACAGTGACTTCAGGTCAAAGCAATCCAAATCTCCTTATGATATGTTCAGCATGCAGATTGAACAGATAGGGAGATAAAATACACCCTTATCTGACACCTTTGCCTATGGGAAGCCATTCTGTTTCTCTGTATTCTGTCCTAACTGTAGCTTCTTGTCCTTCTGTCCTTTTTTAGGCTGAAAAAAGTCCTCAGGTCCAAGCATTCTCCTGGGAGCTTAATGATTTTTTTTCCAATCGAAACACACATAGGATCAATGTTGAGCCAGGCAGGACACTATGAAATCTTGTGGGAATGAGTGTCCTGGGGATAGAGAAGTAAGAGGTGAGGTGACTCAGGGTTTATTTTGGGGGCAACCTTTCATTTCCTGATTGACACAAGGGAACTATGGCAGATACCTCTTGCTCTCCAGATACCTATATCAAACTGACCCATTTGCAGTGCCATCCTCTCGGCAGCTCTGCCTCAAGGGTTCTTGGAAGGGCAAACCCAGAAATTCCTTACAGCAATGTTTGGTATAGGGGCATCCTGCTTGACAGTTTTTGTGCAAAAACAATTCTTTGGATTGGACTCCCAGCTAGGATTTCCTGTAGGAGGCCATTATCTAGCCATGGGGTGTAAGATTTAAGGTGCCATGAAGCTTTTTAACAGGCATATCACACAGTTCCACCTTAAATATATTGACAGTGTTTGGCATGGGGTGTCTTACAGTCTTGAAAGTGACTTGCATCAAAACATATAATTGGTCTGGACAACTGGTTAGGGAACTTAGTGGGGACAGTCTCTCAGTAGCGACGGGATATCAAATAGAATAACCCAGGATTTATTTTGGGGTTCAGATTCCAGTTACCCATTTCTGTATAAGAGCATCAAGCTTTAAGGTAGTGATTCCCAAACAGGTGGTGAAAGATCCAGCTGGTCAGTGAGGAAAAAGGGCAGGTAGGGGATATTAGGAAATTACAGGTAGTCCCTGGGTTATGAACAACTTGTACTTAGAAATGCACAGACTGCCATAAATGTCATATGACTATCTCTCAAGAAAAGCTGTGAATATCTACCTCCCCCCCCCACTGCATCCCTACAAGCTGGCGTTCACCATGGTGCCCACCTCACAATGCCCTGGTGGGTGTCGGGATGAGGGACAGGGAGAGAGAGAGGTTGGGGAAGCAAAGGGTATTGATTAATTCACCTAAGATATGACAACCCTATTGCTTCTAGTATGAAGAAAGAGGCATGTGGGCACTAGGGTTGTCACCCAAGAGGGAAGGTGGTGGCAGCCCAGTAAAGTTGAGGGACCACTGCTTTAAGGCCTGTGCAAAGACACGCCTTCAGGCAGGCCACGCCCGGGACGTCCAGGAGTCTCTTTGGCCATGGGGGTTTATGAGTTGGTTGAACAGAGGTTTGCTAACTTTACTCAGGCTTTACACAGCCTGTCATTGAAAGTATTGGGACCAAGGAACTGACTTCAGCTTCATGTTGCAAAGCCAGCCTAAGTTGTTAATTTCCATATAAGTGGAGGACACAGCAGCAGTGCTAGAGGCCCCTCCCATAATGGGGAGGCATCCACAGCAAATATCTGAAAATACCCACCCAGAATTAGGGCTGGCAGCCTTTCATCCAGGTTCTGTGACTGTGCTTTTATCAGCAGTTTGGTTGCTGTAGTGATTCTCTGGAAAACTATTTCCTGGACTGTCAAGGTTGCTACTTCTGAAATGCAGCAGATCAAGCTGTTGTTAAAAGTTCAGGTGCAAGGGCCAGCTGAATCTTAGGCAACCTTTGGATCAACTGAAAAGTAATGCTACAAATATTTCAGACTGTCTCTTTCAAAAGGAACAAGGGGGTAAGGGAGGAGAAAAAGAGCAATAGTATTCACCCATTATTGAAATCTAAATAACTGCTCTTGGGAAAAAGTAAGGGAAATGGAAGGCATTTGTTTTTAATGATAAGAACATTGGCAAAGTTCCCTGTGCAACCTCACACTGCTGCCAAATTCCCCTAGAAAATCTAAGTTTGCCCAATATTATTAGATACCTCTGTCAATTATCTTGCCTCTAAAACAGGCTTCAGAAACTATTTAATTTCTTTATATTAATAGTGCTTCCTTTGGGTGCTGGGTAACTTTGGCTGTTTTTCCCATACCAAGCCAAATGGCCTCTACCAACTGAAAGTTTCTTGTCAACAGGAGAACAGTCACACACATGATTGAAATAAGCTCTGAGCACACTCCACCTGGCTAGGGGGAAGGCTGGCCTGCCCTGGCCAAGTGTAATCTGGAAGAGACTTTCTCAGCCTGCTTCCTTCCAGCATTTTTGACCAAGACTCCCATCATATCCAATCAGCCTGGTCATGGCAAATGGGGATAGTAGGAGCTGTGGTCAAGCAGGTCTAGTGAGCCCAGGCTGGGGAAGGCTGACCTGGTAGATCATGGAAAACAGGAACTAATTTAGGAACTTAGACGGGGCAAGACTGACTATTCATCTTGCTCAGAGTTGGACTCGCCAACGAGCGACTGGCAATGGCTCCTGCAGTCTCTGGAACAGGTCTTTCTTCCTAACTTGAGGTGACAGGAATGGACTTTGCAGCTGTCTCCTGGCCAAGTGTCTGCTTTACCACTTTGTTATGATCCCATCTTTCCATGGACACAATCTGGTCGATCATGACAGGCCAGGGTAAACATTTGGTGCTGGAGTTAATGCCAACACCTGCACCTGGCAATACTTAGTAGGAACAGAGAATTTCAGCAGGTTCTTCTTCCTCACCCTCTCCATACAGATGTCTGGCAGTTGCACTCAACAAGTGGCATTTGACACACCCTCTCCTTCCTGTGCACCAGGAAGCAGCTATGAAGTGGTAGATGAACACTTTTGATAAAGCCTTCACGACAACTGATTGGCGAAATGCAATCAGTTTGGCTAATCTACACCAAGGCGGTAATCTATTTCTAGCAGTTTCTATTTCTACCATGAGCTTTTAATTCAGTGAATGGATCTTAATTGCCCATGCGAGACAAGGGCACCCCCAAACACCCTGTGCTTCAACAAGAATAGCTCATGGCAAGGTATTGTTGCTGCCCACATTCATCCTCTCCACCATAGCTGCTATCGCAAAGGTGATAGCTGAGATCAGAGGGAACCAGAAAGCCTGAGCAGAAGGCTGCACCCTGGCTTTAGGATGCTCCTTTATGAGGCAAGGTGGGACTGGAACTCTGCGGAAGTGGGCAGCATTGAAATGATCTGGCTTCTTGGTTAGCCAGAACCTTTCTCCTTTGTCTAGCCTTCCAGTGGCAGAAGAAGGGCACCAAGGAAATGCAGCTTTTGCTCATAGAGCCAACAATATTCTTTTCACAGTCCGGTATTTTCATTGCTGCGGGATGCCAGCAAGGCTAGCCTTCTCGGTGATGCTAGTTTTGTCCAGTCCTTCTGGACCTGCAGAGAAGAAGCATATGAGGAGAGGGAACGTTTCAGCCCTGCTCCAAGTCTGTCTCATTTATTGCCCTCAACACATGGGTGGGCAATGCTCTGAAGAGGAGGACTTCTGATTTCCCAGTGTTTGTGCTGCATGGAGAGCTTCCATGGATTCAAGAGGGTCTTCTCTTCAGACTATTACCTCTACAATTGAAGGATGAAAAATGTAATGAGGAGAGAAGTGAGGCAGGAGTTGTTGTTATTACGTTTCTGGGTGGTTCACTACATTTAAGTCAACCATCCAGATTTCAGCCAGGCTCAACCCTGCTGAGCTTCCAAGATAAGGCAAGATTGGGCACTTCAGACTCTGTATGGTGAGGTGCTTGTGTCCAGGGCTATTAAGGCTGATATTTGCAAGAAGATTTCCTAGTGGTTCCTCCCAGCAACACAATGCACAGTTTAAAAACCTGTGCATTGCTGTCCACAATACAGCTCTGGATTTTGTTGTGGGAGCATGTATCTTCGGAGTAATAAATAATAATCTCACTGCCAATTGCTGTTATGTGGAATAAGGGACAGGCACATTGACATCATATTGAATAAGAACACTGTTCGATGGGAAGACTGTCTTGTGCTACAGACTGATAACTCCATGTGGCATGGGCTCATATATCCACCATTTCCGTATCTGGACAGGGTTAGTCTTGCTGTAGTTATCCATTTGCTGGTGACCTCTGATCTGGTTTACTGCAATTCCTTATATGAGAGGTTGCCTTTGGAGAACACCCAGAAGCTTCAACTGGTCCAAAATAGGGCAGCAAGATGGTTACCCTGGAGTAGTCAACATGATGACCTGATGCCACTGGGTGCCCATGTGTGCTGGTGATCTGCCCATGTCTGGACCCAATTCAAAGTGCTGGCATTAACTTTAATAGTTCTGATGGGTTTGGGACCAGGTGGCCAGAAGCATTGCCTCCTCTAAACCCATCCGCATCTTAACAATGCCCTCTGTGGCTCTTCTCTAGGAGTCACTGACAGAGGAAGGGAGGTGGGTGGCCACCAAGAAGAGGGGCCTTTGTCTTCTGGCAGCCTGACTGAGCTTCCCAGAAGGGCTTGCTTTGTGCCTACATTGCAGTTTTTCTGGCACCAGACAAAGACCTTATTTTCCCAGTCATTTCAATCTTTCAGTTTCTGTATTCCAATATGCTGCTGTACTTTCATGTTTGCATTACTGCTAGGCTTTACTTTGGCTTTTTTTAAACTTCTGTTTCCAAATGAATTTTTTAACTTTAAACTTTCATAGTGCGTCTTATGGCTTTGTTGATGGTTTTACTTGTGAACTGCCCAGTTTTACTATTGGATAGTATAGAAGTGACATAAATAAGGTAATGTCTCCAGTTCAGGCCCTGGATGATCCTGACCCTGGGAGAGTTAGTAAATAGAAATATTGAGACCTGGGCTTATTTTGAATGTCCCAAAAGAAACAGGAAAGAGTGCATTGTGAATAAGGCTATTCTGTATGCTCAAGAAGCAAAAGACAAGGCCCAAGTCTGGTACTCTATTGTACACGGTGGCAAGTATGATAAGAGATGAATCCTAGAATAAGCACTAGAAGCAGTGCACATTTGATTCTTCTGGTTGTATTTGGAGTCCTTGTCTCTTCTTGGGGGATGCAATAAACGAAGCAGTGCCTGATGTTGTCACAGTGTCTCTCAGGGTCTAACTACTTGGGACTACTAGATACTCACCTCTACTCCCCATGGCTTAGTATATAGAGAAAAAAGGCAGGAAAACCCAAGAAGACACCAGCACTATTAATAAGCGAGTCAAGGAAGGTTATAGAAGAGACTAAGGCAAGGTTAGGCAACTTCATGTAGTCCAGATTCATGTATTCCTGGCTTTAGTCCAAAATATCTGGAATGTGATAGGTTGGCTATCACTGCACAAGGTTTGCTTTTAAAAAAGGAAGGTTTTCCTACATGAAAAGAAACAAAAATACATTGCAACACAATAGAAGTAAAAGATTCTAAGGTAAGCAAGGGTGGGAATTGACAAGCATATTGAAAAAATAAAATAAAATAAATAGAGTTGCATCTGATGATTGCTTTGCATGAGCAGAAAGCCCTCCTCTTCCAGCAATGTGAGGCACCACACTCCCTCCAACCCTCCTCCAGCCTTGTATGGTATCCCTGGCTGTTCTGGAGCTCCTCCAGCTCTCAGGAACAGCTCTTTCGGAGGGAGCATGGAGGGCTGTGGGCTGCAGGGAGAATTGGGGAAAATCAGGTGTCCAGCCTGGTGTGAAGAGAAGCACATTTTACTTGCACAAAGCCACCATCGGATGCTACCTGTTACTATCAACAAGCCTAACTCCTTTATGTCAGATGAAGAAAATGAACAGGGTAAGTGACTGAACTGCCAGAAAGCCAAGGACTAAAGGTATACTAAAGGAGACCAGGGAGAAGACTGCAGAGAATCTGGATCCTTTGGATCTGCAGAAAATACTGGAAAGTGATTAGGGCTTGAACTAATTTAGGCAGACTTGGCAGCTGTCTGTTTTGTTTCTTGTTTTTGAAACTGCTCACTTGCTCCACTCCACCCTACCCCCAGAAGGGAGTCTGAAGAACTCAGTAACATAAATGTGATTACTTTCTACATCTTACCAACCCTAGCCAAACCTCCTAGATAAGGAAGAATTGGGGGCAAAGTCTTCTATTGCACACACAGAAGTCATAAAAAGACTCTGATTTTACAGTGTCTGTGTGTGTGCATGTTGACCAGGAATTCAAGAAGAAAGTAGAAATGTTCTAATAATAGAAATGTTCTAATAATAATAATAATAATAATAATAATAATAATAAGTGTCTTTACCTGAAGAACCAGAGCAGTTTCAGCAGATACCTTGTTGCTTGTGTGGTCAGGAGAAATGCTTTGTGGACTGAGTACAGCTGGTGAGTGAACGCAGAAAACCCACTATATAGGAAAGCATAAGTAAGTGCCTGAGAAGCAATTAAAATAATCGGAGAAGCTATTTTTGAAACCAAACTATAATGCCAGTATGCAACTATAATCCTTGTTGGCACGTAGTCTTGAATAACTCACTTAATGTATTTTTTTGACATGGTGTTAGTATTTCTTGACATTGTGTTAGTATTTCTTGACATTGGGTTTGTAAAAAAAAAATGCTTAGAGGGAATTCGTTGAATCCTTAGGCCAAGCAAGTCTGAGTTCTCATACTGGCGTTAGTGCAAGTAAAGGCAAAATGAGAGCCAGGGTGGTGTAGTGGTTAAGAGTGCAGATCTGGGACTCGGGGGTCTTGGGTTTTAGTCCCCACTGGGTGACCTTGGGCCAGCCACAGTGTGTCAGCCCAACCTACCTCACAGGGTTGTTGTTGTGGGGAGTAGATTTCAAGAGCAGCAGGAGGAGAACAGTGTGAGCTGTTTTGAGTTAACAGGAAAAAGTGGGATATGAATCTAATAAATAGATAAATAAGTATAATGGAGAAGAGTGGCACCCTGAACCGCATCACCCAAATATTTTACTTGCAAAACCAGAGTACCATAATGGAAAGTAACCAATGCATGGATAGTCATGAAGTTATGTCATGTGTTTCCATGCACCCACCCATTAACACTTTCATTTTGCATCTTGCAGTGGATTTGATTATATCTATTGGTAGAGTCATCTTGAGTCTCAGCAGCGAGAACTTGCATGGCCACAGGGGCACCCAGTTTCATTCCCTTTGGAAAAAGATCACTAAATCCTGACAGGAGTTAAGAAGCATTATGTGCACAGTGGACTGAGCTCAGGTGGAAGCACAACATGGCCTGCCAAACTCCACCTCTCCCACATCAGATCTCTATGGAGGCAAGCAATGCCCCTGTATGCCCCAAACACCTGACCCACCACAGCGTACTTCTCTATGCTTGTTTGCCTCTGTGTCATGCTTAGTTGCTGTCACCCATTATTTCTCTGACATCCTTCCACAGGCAGCAAGCTTACGTCAGCTGGAAGGGACAGAGGCATTTCCTCTGGCCTGCAAGAAGAGGAGGCTGAGGCAGCACCATGATTCACGGCAACATGGCAGGGCCTCTCTGTCCCACCCCAGAACACCTTCCCTAGTGCCAACCCCAGAGTTGCTCTCCCAGCTCCATGGCTCTTTCCATGCCAGCTGTGAGGGCAGAGGGAGAGTGTTCCAAAGTCTTAGTTCTGACCTTGGAGAATCTTTCCAAGGTTGGAGCCGGAAATCCGCCTTTTCCTATGTCCTTCTAGACAGGGCCTAGCAGCCATAGGATCATTCATTCATTCATTATATTCATATCCTGCCTTCTTTCCTTTCAAGGAACTCAAGGTAGCTTACCTAATTCTCCTCCTCCTTCTCTCAGTCTTATCCTCATAACAACCACCCTGCGAGGGAGGTTGGACTGAGTTGGCTCCATGTATATGTGGGAACTCGAACCTAGATCTCCCAAGTCCCGGCCCCACACTTTCATTCACTCTAACAAAATATGCAGAAAATGTATGATAGCATAATTTTTCAAAAGTCTATTTTGTGTTCACGAGCATTTAAAAATACATTTCCAAAAATACATTTGTGCATTTCTCTTCACAGATGAATATGGAAATAGGACAGAATGAACTGATGAATGAGCACATGTGAAACTGACTGGGCCAGAAACAGACCGATCATTTCTTCTCTGAAAATTGAAGAAATGCGGAGTGTATTTGTGTGCGCACTCACCATTTAAAACAGCATTCCACATCTCTGCAAAAGGTATACATAGGAATGAAACAGGGGCAGTGTTTTCTAGGACTGGAAAATAGAAGTTTGTGCGGAAAAGGAACAAGAGTCCTGTGTGCTAATGTCCACTTTGCTTTCTGGCTCCTGCAAGTTGCAGGTGCTTGGAAAAGTATGGGAAGAACGGCACAGGCTTAAAGCATCTCTCTCTGCATGCATACCTGCCACAGGTGCAGGGAGGGGGGAAAGGGGCAGAAACCGCCATCAACAAATCCACTCAGGAGAAACACACTGTTATCCATTGAACTCTTTGGGAGCCACTCTGGAAGGCTTCCATTACTAACTGAAGACCTAAGCTTATGCAGGTTTAGTCAGAAAAAATAAACATGGGGCCATGTAGTACAGAGCACGCTAAACTAAAAAAGTTTAGTTTTGAACTGAAAAAGACAAGATCTAGTGCAGATAGGGATTTTTCCTGTTTCTTTGGCCATCTTTTGCTGTCACTTCCCTGAGGATGTTGTCGTATTAAAAAACAAAAAAAGAAAAAAGGTAAGATTTATTTAAATTTCAATATTAATTCAATCCGTAAAATATCTTTAAGTGGAAGCATACATTAAAGCCAGTTTATGCAATATCAATAAAAAATAAGAAATATAAGGAGTCAAGAAATGATAAGTATGTAAACACTAAATTAGATAAATTCAGTCACGATTAAATTGTGTCCAATTTTTGCAAGGACTTACAGTCTACTGTTCCAGAATAATACAATGTAATTGCATTTTCCTATTAATCTGTTTAAAAACACATGTGGTATAATGGTTTAAGGAGTTGGGCTGGGCCTCTGGAGATCCAGATTTTAGTCTCCACTTGACCATAAAGCTCACTGGGTGATTTTGGGCCAGTCACTTATTCTCAGCCCAACCCACCTCACAGGGTTGTTGCTGTGAAGATAAAATGGAGAGGAAGAGGATTATGTTTGCTGTTTATCTGTCTATTTACATACTATCTTATTTCTTTAGAGGAAGTAGATAGTATGTAAATACAATAAACACACATTTCCTTGCTTCTTCCCTTCCTTTCTCATATTTTATTCCCCAGGAAATCACATGGTTAAAAGACATTTCCAACACATTTTGCAGTCTTCAAAGATCACCCCTTTGAGGACATTCTCTTTTAGTTAATTTTTGCACCTTTAATTATAATTTTAATCTTTGCATACTTACTGGATCTCCTTTGTATGAATCAAGTTGCGTTCTTCTAAGGAAAACAACCTTCCACTCCATAATTTTTCTGCTTAAGCTAGTAGGGACAAACTTGATGAAGGTCTAGAAGAAGCTTCTTTTGTAGTTAAAGTTTTGTAGTGAAAGATAAATTCTCATCGAGCAATAAGTTCTATTGAACTTAATAGGACCTACGTCTGAGTGAACATGTATAGGATTGTGCAGTAAAACATTTTAAATCCTTTTTTCTTTTATAGAATATTCATGATACTCCGTATATATATTTATAGATGCATGAATATGCATATGAATGGACAAACAGAACAATCAACATAAAGGTACAGAAGTGGACGAGCGTTTTCTAGTTCGGCGCTATTGCCAGTAAGCAGGAGAACCATGCATTGAAGTGGGGGGCACATCAGCTCGTGGTGCGGTGATGTCTGGCTTATCCTAACAATCCTTCCCAGAGACATTGACGGGGGTCTCGGGCTTGCTGGTTTTTGTGTACACATTACCTGGTTGTGACCTGCTTTGTCAATGGATTTATTTAATTAGCTTTTCTATTAATGCCTTATCCTACATTCAGCTCAGGCAAGAGAATTCCCAGTTTGATTTCCATTAATTTTCAGTGTCCACCTCCTCCCCAAAGGTAACAATTCCTTGTGTCAGACCTGGTCATTGTTGCCTTCAAAAATAGTAAGGGCACAATCCTATATACGTTTAGACAGAGGAAAAGCCTCACAGTTCTCAGTGTTCTCCAGACAGTGATTTTGCAGAGAGCTTTGGAACATATCTGTGCAGAAATACCTAAACTTTCCTAATGCCTAATGCAATGAGCCTAATGCAAGAAAAGGTTCTGGCCCTCTCCCCCTTTTGCTTTGTTGACTGCACAAACTTTCTTTTTAACTAACTAACTAACTAACTAACTAACTAACTAACTAACTAACTAACTAACTAACTAACTAACTAAGAAAGAAAGAAAGAAAGAAAGAAAGAAAGAAAGAAAGAAAGAAAGAAAGAAACCTTTGCTGCAAAATGGTTGTGATGCCATTCCTTTGATTCCAGCTTGTCTTTGGCATACCAGGCTGGACATTCATGGAAAACCTTACAAGCTTTACAATACATTAAGAAAGATCTGTAATGCGGTTATTCATCATGGTATTTACAGCCCTCCTGCCCTTTGGTATTAGTCATGCAGCTGATGCACATTTCCTGGAAGCTGTTGAGGAAGGGCAGAACCCATTTCACAACTGTTTTACCAAACAGCCTTCCTTTTTTATCTCTTTAAAAATGCCATGGTAAAATACCCATGAGAGAGTTGGACAATTTCAGAGGTCTCATATACTCAGAGACAGCTTTCCTGTCATTTTCAAAACTTAGGAACAAAGCAATTGCAGCAAGCCTCTTACTCAGTGCACTGGCATCTGTGGAGAAAACACACACACATCGGCATCTCCTGGAGAAAACACATGCACACGCGCGCGCGCGCGCGTGTGTGTGCGTGCAGACTGGCTCTGCTGTTTTGCTATCCACCCACATGGAAAATTCCATAGGTATGAAGCTTGTACCCTTAAAGGCAATCTAAAACACACACACACACAGATTTTGAATGGAAAAAAACTGTATGAGAAACTGGCCCCATCTCCGCACAAAGAGGCCACTGCAATACCATTCAGCTTCTTGTGGCTTTTCATACGGGGCTAGTTCTGCTCCTTGTGGTTTTAATGTTCATTTAATTTGCTGTTAGATTTTAATGTCCCTTTTTCTTTTTTGTACACCCTTCTGTCTACAAAAGGTGGATTCCTGATCCAATTCATTAAAACAAATGTTTTTTTACAACCAAAACATCATTGAGAAAGTCTTTCATCAAAAGCTCCTGAGTAAATTTTGTAGTAATAGGATAAAATGACAGATATTATTACACAAATGGCTAAATACAGAAAGTGACAGTAAATAGACATTTCTGGTTTTTGAAAGAAGTTCCCAACAATCAGCACTGGAACATTTGGTTGTGCAAACTAGACTTAGGATGAACAAATGTGCAGATGATGGCACAATACTTAAGACTGCCCAACCCAAACTGGGATTTCAAAAGATCCCACAGAGGGGAAATGAACAACAAAACAGCAAAGAAGGTTCAGCATTGGCGTACAGAGATATGAACTGGGACACAAACTCCTAATTTTAAATAAATGTTGATTGGTCTCTGAAAAGCTGCTGCACCCCCAGAAAGAGAGAAAGAGATGTTGTGGAATGGCAGGGACACTAACAAGATCAAGACTCTTGCTGGATGCACCTGAGCCCAAGCCTAAGCTCATTTGGGGGCTTACTTGATGGCAGGAGTGGACTGGGAGCAAAGCAAGCTTTCTGTACAGCACCATTGCTCCTGTACAGCATTTTCCAACAGAGCTCGTAATGAGTAGAAATGAGCCCAGGGACCACATGTTGTGCAACAGACATACTGTACATAATATTTTGCTAGAGTTGGAGGCCTTGGTTATAGGAGACTTTGCGCAGAAGCCCT